AAAAATTTTCAAAAATACTGTTTTTCTTTTTTTTAAATTTGTTTTAATTTCCCTATTCGAAGATCGCTACTTTCGTTTCGTGTGTTTTCTTTTTACAAAAACATAAAAGTTTTCCGTAATTTCCCGGTCCCATATCTTTTAAAATTTCATAATGGGGAAAAATTTAAAACAAATTTTTTGCGGATGATCGCCCATAAGTAAACGATTGTGTTGCATGCAAGATCCAAGTCCTAGCTTAATTAATGGTCGATGTCATAGCAAAGGGCTTGAACTGAATTTATTTTGTTATATAGTCTTAAGTGCAGCCGGAGCTCGTGTATAAAGTTCTGACTGCATGATGGGATTTGAAACAAAATTTGAACACTTAATCATCAATAACTTAATAGACAATATATTACTTGTAAAACCAGCGTCTGCACTTTCAAGTTAAAATTTCCGTACTTGGAGGTCAAGGGTCAAATCATGACCGTTTTATAGTTTTGGCATTAGAGTCAAACTTGTATTATGCGACGCGAGCAAGTGAAAAAACTCAAAATGGAAATGGTCGCTTGAATTCAACGGTCTCTTAAGACAAAGAATGAGAAAAGGTCAAAAATTTATTCATGATATATTTCTTTGCGAAAAGCGTTGCAACGCTTTTCAACTGGCCTTTGCGAAAAGCGTTGCAACGCTTTTCACTCAAATCTGTCTAAGAATAACACAGAAGTACGGTTTTATCTATATATCAAATTTATTTCTGAGTCTATTTCTTATTTTTCTTTTGGGCATATCTTTCCTTTTTAAGTGCCCTAGTTAGTCTATGTAAGAATTTTCAAATTTTATGTGTTTAGCTTTGGGACCTCAGTAAACTTCATTTAAAAATGTTATGCAACTGAATTCACCCATGCTTTTTTAATCACGTTCAAACACGAGTAATTCCTTACAAAACATTTTTGCTCATTAAGTGATTAAAACGTTGAATATTTGTACAAAAGTCTACGTTCAATAGTTTGACATTAAGAGCAACACGTTTTTAAAAACGAAATTCAAATTATAGTTTTAAGAAGTGAAATTATTATGACTGTTTTCCCTAATTTTTTTTAATTTGGGAAAAAAAAGGGGAATACAGATTTCCCGGGGGTGTGCCCGGGTAACGTTTATTTTACATTTTTTTATAAAATTTTGATGTTTTAAAAATGCGCTTTTTTGTTTGTTCCCTTTTGGGGCCAATATAAAAGTTTCCCCGGGGGACTTTTTTGTTTTGTCCCTTAAAAGCTTTTTAAATCAATTTGAAAAATTTTATTTTACTGGGGGGGTTTTTTTTATTCAAAATGCCCTTTTTTGGGTGACATTGTTAAAATAAACAAAATTTAATTATTTTTTAAAATTTCCCCAAGAAAAAAATTTTTTAAAATTAAATTTTATTTGAATTTTAAAATAAAAATTTTAAAATTTTTCCCTTTGGAAATTTAACTTTTAATTTGTTTCCTTATTTCTAAAGATTTTTATTTAAAAAAAAATAATGTCCAAAAGGAGGACTTTTTCAAATAAAACAAAAAAAATTTTCCAATTTTTAATTTTAAAATTTTTGTCACCCGATAAGAAAGGGGTTACGAATTTTTAAATGTGTTGTTTAATTTACATTTGTCGGGAAAAAAAGATTTTTTTAACAAAACGAAAAAACCCAATGATGACGATTTTAAGATTTTTTTTTGGCTTGGGAATTTTTATTTTTTAAGCCCAAAACGCAAAGGCCTTTAAAAAATGGGAAACAAATTCAAGCCACCATACCATAGTATTCCGTTATTTTTGCAATATGACGGTTATTTAAGGCATGAACGCACTAAATATGTCACCTTTTTAGCTCGACTTTTCTATGAAAAGGGGAGCTATCCTACTCGCCCCGGCGTCGGCGTCGGCGTCGGCGTCGGCGTTGGCGTCACACCTTGGTTAAGTTTTTCGTACCACCCCACTTTATTTCAGAAGTATTACAAGTATGGCTTTGAAACTTACCATACTTGTTCACCATCATAACCTCCATCTACAGACAAGAGTACATAACTCTGTCAAGGTTTTTTGACAGAATTATGGCCCTTTTTTGACTTAGAAAGTGTATTGAGCTTGGTTAAGTTTTTTGTACCACCTCACTTTATTTCAAAACCATTGGAGGTATTGCTTTGAAACTGACCATACTTGTTTACCATCACGACCTTCATCAACAGACAAGAGGACATAAACTCTGTCAAGGTTTTTGACAGAATTATGCCCCTTTTTGACTTAGAAAATACATTGAATATGGGTAAAATCCACTTATTGCCTTAACCCTTTGAGATATTGCTTTGAAACTTTTAATGCTATTTCACATCATTACCCCCATCTGTACGCAAGAGAAGGTAACTCTGTCAAGGATTTGTTTTAAAAATTAAGGCCTTTTATCGACTTACAATCTTGGTTAAGTTTTTAGTACCAGTCCACTTTTTGACTGAACTGTTTGAGATATTAATTTGAAAGTTGGAATACTTGTTTACAATCATGATTCCCAAACATGTCCAGGAGAAGGTAATTCTGTCAAAGATTTTATTTGAATTATGGCCCTTAAACTGAAACTTATATTCAGTTTCGTGATGCTACACTGTGCTTACATACAGAAATTAGGAGCATTCGAAGATAGTGAGAATGAATGTGTTCAACGAGATGCCCCAATTGGTAAAAATATACTCAATGTCACGATTTCATGAACATTTAGCATGACATTAAATAATGAATTGAACTTCCTTCATGTAATTCAAATATCAGTTTACAACGCATTATCTACATAGTGGACCCACGAAAAGTAACCAGTCACCCACAGCCTGTGTGAAAGAGATCCACTTGTGACCAACTGACAACATCTAAAAAAGCTTGATAAAATTTATCTATTACTTGTATTATAAGGTAACTATAATACTTTCAACATACAAAGTCAAATCTATATATTATGCTGATTGTACAAAAAATATACTGCTTCCTTGGCATAGATTTCTTGAAAAATTATGTTATTATGTCATTTACCAAGGTGTTCTGAGTGACGTAAAAATACCTTATTCTCTCAAAGTGGGTTTAATACTATTAAATTTATTTAAGGCTCAACTCAGTTTTTTTTTCTTTCTTACCAGCCCTCTTTTGACTTAAACATTTCAAACTTTGCTGCAGTGTTCAAGGGTATCACACAATTCAGTAAAATAATTCTTCACTAAATATCTTAATGCTCATGGCCATTGTTCACTTTAAAAATACAGAGATTCTTGTATTGCCTTTTACTGCAAAAACTTTTTTTTTATTGGCAAGCAATAAAAAAGTCGAGCGCGCTGTCTTACGGACAGCTCTTGTTATTTCCCCCTTCACCATACTATATAAGGGAAGTAACTGTAAAACGTTTGTGTGCAGTATGTTATACTCGTATTCTTTGTAGAAATGTGAAGCTGGTTTTAAAATAAAGAACGCTGATATATACTATAAACGTCCAAATGTGATATTCTTACTTATGGACGCATACACAGTTAATATGACACACTGATTCTATATTACATTCTCAAAATAGAAATAGATAGCATTGCTACAAATCAAATTAGTAGACTACTAGTGTTTAATGCCATTCAGGACTGTCAAAATTTAGCACTTTAACAATCATTGATATTTTTTACAAAAAAAATCTTTAGATTTACTGTATGCCAACATACATATTTTTAATCAAGAACTTTTATTCATCATGTAAAATGTTCAGTTTGTTTTATATGCTTTGAAGCATGCCATTTTATATGTGTTTGATTTACAGTAATTTACTTTAAATCAAGAAGCTATCTTAATACAGCGGCACACCAGATCTGGGTTACTAGATCGTATCAGTATCAGATCAGATCAGATCAGGTCATATTTATAAAAGTGTTCGTGCTTAAATATGGGACCCACTGCTCCATTCACAATGATCGACTTTTCTGATTTGAGTGTAAACGAGAAAGGTTATCATCCATAAGATAAACAAATTAAATATCATATTGCACGCCGCTCTTTAACTCCCTTTAATAATAATGAGCAATTTATACTAGAAATAAGTTTGTCTTCTAGTAACAGATAAGACTAATTAACATTTATTGTTATTTATCAGTCAAGGAACCGATCAGGGGTAAAATATTATGCATGATTTTTTTTTAAATGTAAATTCTGGATTTCAAATGATTCCCTGCGGTCTGGAGACCGCAGGGTATTGGTACGCGTTTAACTTTTGAGGCATGGAGTAGCACGTGACCTGTTTTCGGTACATGGAGGAGCATGTGATCTGTAAACCGTACATGATTGGTTAATTGACCGTTTCGAAATCCTAGCTAAATACCGTTTGCCGGTACGTTACGGATTTACCTGTAGGGAATTAGTCCGAATTACCCCTAATTAAGAACAAAAACTATTATGTGATTTTTCTAATTTTCTATAATTATTTTACCGTTTAAGGTAGAAAAACTTAAATGATGTGTTTGAAAATTATCACTGTTTCTTTAATATCTATCTCAAATTTTACAAACAATAAATTGTTTACACTGAAAATCTACAAAGTTAAAATATTCGTAGTGGCATCTGCCATAATAAATAGAGATATTTTCTGCGTAAACTTGTGTGTTTACTTTATTTATTTTTTTGCTCGGAATTTTTCATAAAATGGTAGGCCTATTTAATCATTTTCTTAAAAAGAAATAATTGTTTTATGTTCGACCTTCTCCTGTCTTCAACGGTCATCAGTTTCCAAAGACCTAGCTTCTTATATATTGATCGTTTTATTCAATTGTCAACTATATTCTTGATACAAACGTTTATTTACCCCCCCCCCCCCCACCCCCCCCCCCAAAAAAAAAATCATGTTGAAAATAGTTAAATGAAATATCTTTATATCATTAAAATGTTCACCGCAGGAAACCATTTTACTTGTATACTAGTTGTGCCATGTTATAAAATATGTATCACTACTGTTATAGTGTGACCATAACATATTTAGGCGTCTGCGTTTCATTTGATCTTCACGATTCATTTTTTTACCGCTGCACCGGTTACAAAATAAAAACAAATAACACGTGCCTCTGTTTCCTATATCTGTTTACTGTCAATTGGTAAGGTTTAAATCAGTTAAAGAAAATATAGAAGTATCGTCTTTTCATACTTTAACTAAAGATAACATATTAAACTAATTATTTATAGTAATAAATTTATGAACTAGATGTATTTTTGACTAAAAATTATTTCGGATAAAATTATATCTAAATAACTTTAATAAGCTGATTACCTGATTACGGATATGAATGTAGTCTACATGGCATTTGTTATGAAAATATTTATTCCAGAAATAGTAATGGTTGGGAATGAAGAAACTCTTCAGGTGATAATCTTCATTCTTGGACGAAGTACAACAATTTCGTTTCGTTTTTTTTTTTTTTTTTTTTGACAGACCTAAAAAAATGGAAGGGTAAGGCATATTTTAGGTTAGTCCTATATCATAAAGACGTTTCTGTTAGTACTACGTACACTCCAAGTACGTAGTACTAACGGAAACGTCTTATGTTATAGGACTAATTTTAGGTCCTAACAAAACAGTTTTTAAGGCGTATATTGCAGAATCCTTTTCTGTCAGACTTCTTTCAATTTTACCAGGTGGCAGACACAGGTAATTTTTAGCCACATGAAAAGTTAATAGATCTAGTCACCCAATCCCATGATTAAACAAAACAGATTGGCAGGTCAAACAACAATGTAATTTTGTTGTGTTTTGTATAAAGATTTCAAGCATGTTTTCCAGTAAATAATGTTAAGTTGCAAACATGTCAAATCGACCCGAGGACAGATCTGCCCCAGGTCTAACGGGTCCCAAAATAAGTCAAATCAGCCTTATAATAAGCAGGGCTCACACTGGCTCAAATAAAAAAATAGCCAATAATTTCAACTTAAAAAAATAATAGCCAAAAGTTCAGCGGAATATTCACGAATTAGCGATTAACAACATAAGCAGTTGATTAAATAAACATTACATTTATATCTTTCAGTTTTATAAGGATTCTCATATAAACCGATACATTTGTGTATATTGATAACTACCTTTTTTTAAATAGAACCACAACTTCAATTGTTATTATAGAACAGAATAAAAAAGTTATAATTAGTATAATTACTGTATAACAATAATATTAAAGATTCATTATAACTTTACATCATGCTGTTATCGGACAACTTTTTTTGTTTGTTCTTATCAAATTTTGTCAGCTATAACCACTGTCAATTTCCACATTTCACACAGAACTGGAGTAGATCTAGGTCATATTAGCCTATAGAAATAACACAAGTTTGCAAACTCATTCACAGAATGCAGCCTTTTTTCTGAATAATTTACTGAAAAATATCATCATCACCAATGTAATACAAATTTTCTGCCATAGTAGTAAAGATTTTTAAACAGAACATAGCTTATTTCACCTTTAAATAAATATCAAAATTATCGGTGTCGCGAAAATATGTGACAATCGGATTTTTCCTGTTTTCTGAAGAAATATTCACAATTTTGGTTGTTGTGCAAATAGTTGTTTGGAATTTAATACTTTTCAAATATTTTACCATTGTTTTCCACTGGCGATTTAGTCAAGTAGCTTAAAACAAAAAAAAATCAAAATTTGCAATTACTGGAATTCACGGTAAATTTTGGGTGAGTCAATATCCAGTTTATCAATTTTAAAACGATTTTTGTGGCTAATTGACGGATATTTGATGGCTATTATAAATGCTGGACAATATCTTTAAAGTACTTATACAATTATACATCTCGCATGTATTTTATCACCTCGGGCAATATAGTTAGCAGCACGTGACCGGTAAAAAGTTGACACTCAATTAAATGCACCCCGCTGGTGTTAATTGGGTCTACTGCATTCATTATCGATTTTTACACCTTATATAGACACTGTTGGAAGTAAAAAATAATCGCCAGATTTTGTAGCCAAAATGCAAAAATAATCGCCAATCTTATAAAATAATCGCAAATGGCGACTTTGGCGACCGACAGCGTGAGCCCTGAATAAGTCAAATCGGCCTAAATACATTTTTGAAAAGTCAAGTCGACCCAAAGTCAGATTGACCACAAGTCGAAATTTAAGAACATGGAAGAGCTATGTTTGCATGGGGCCATCCATAAAAAATTGTTTGTTTGTAGTGCTCCGACTGACCCATGAAAATGGCCCCGACTCTAAAAATTTTTTACACCTTCGAGGATTTTTTTTTTTTTTTTTGAGATCATTGTGTACCCATTCTGTTAAAAAGAACTTTCTCCAATAACTTTTCAGACAAATTTTGAACTGAGAAGTAGAAGAGTAAAAGAATTTTATTACAACACCAAAATAAACGCACGCTTTTCATTGATATTTTGCCAAACTTTGACCCCGAACATCGGCGATTTCACATTTGCCAGAAACCATAATATTTCGCAAAGGGCCTAAAAATTCTCAGTTTCCAAGCCAAACATGTGAATGAATTGTTCTTTTGTTAATTATTTAACATTAAATCTTATAAAAGTTGATCCACTTTTGAAGATATTTGCTAAAATAATTGCCGATCGGATGCATCTCTTACACACTGTGTGAAGCTGTACTCGATTTTCCTATTCATTCCACTAAATGCTGCCTATATATATGTACAGTATATGGAAATGATGCCCTTTACAAATATAAAGTTTTCGTCTTTAGACTTTAGAGTGGACATATTAAACCAGAATAAAATTCGATTTATTTTTGTTATAAAAGTGAAAAAACGATTGCAACTTTGTTATGTGAAAATAGACAGAAATGGTACCCTCACTCATGAAGGTTTTTTTTTACATGAGTGGACATATCTAACTTGAATACAATTTGATTTATTTTTGGTATAAAAGTGAAAAAAAAAGATTGCAACCTTGCTTCAAAGATAATATACATACATCAATGAATGTTAAAATGGACTACCCTCCGTAACCATAGACCACCACTGTGGTTTCCGATCAATAACTAAAGAACGCTTAGGCCTAGGAACTTCAAATTTGGTATGATGATTGGTCATGACCAGCAGATGACCCCTATTGATTTAGGGGTCAAATGTCAGGGTCACATTGACCTTGTAGGTGAAAACAGTTTCCAATCAATAACTTAAGAACGCTTAGGCCTAGAAACTTCAAACTTGGTATGATGATTGGTCATGACCAGCAGATGACCCCTATTGATTTTGGGATCAAGGGTCAAGGTCATGTTGACCTTGTAGGTTATAACGGTTTCTGATCAATAACTAAAGAATGCTTAGGCCTAGTAACTTCAAACTTGGTATGATGATTGGTCATGACTAGTAGATGACCCCTATTGATTTTGGGGTCAAGGGGTCAATGTCATATTGACCTTGTACTTAATGTTGCCTTGGTTGATATTTTTACATAAACTAAAAATGCTTTTGGTATACACATTTGAAGGTCTTATGTAATATAACAACTTGGTTGTCATTAATGAGGCCTACATGATTCATAAAATTTATGCATATATTATTTGTAAGATTTGTAATAACTTAAATTGCTGCACACAACCTATGCCATAATGGGGTCACAATACTTATTACCTTGTGACTAGTCATGACCTGTAGAGACTACATAACCCTTATTAATTGTTTGTTCACTGGGTCAGAAGTCATGCATAATAACCTGATCATATGACTAATTGGCTGCTGATAGGGGGCATACATGTTTTACAAACATATCTTGTTTGTTTAAATACAATGTACAGTATATCATGGCAGACTATATACTGTGTATTGCTATACTCAGTATGCTCAAATTTTGTAACATTGAAGTGCAATTTCCAAAAAAAAAAAAAAAATCCCCTACCTACCTACCCACCTCTTGAACTTAGGGTCGGAGCACTACAAACAAACAATTTTTTAAGGATGGTCTGGTTTTATTCAAAAATTAAATACATTGATTATCATTTGTTTCTGTTCTCTTTTTTTGTAATCCGTGGTTTGTCATTGCGTCTGCCTGTACACTCTGTGGTAATTATCACTCCATTGGTAATTATTAATATAGAATGCAATGTTTATAATAAATAAATGAAAAAAGAAAATTTTTAAAAAAAGGGGCTGTTCTGACTTGAGGCCGGTTTAACTTGAGGCCTATTTGACTCTTTTTGGTGCCGTTTTGACTTGGGGGCCGATTTGACTGTTATTCATTAAATCATGTAACGATGATTTAGATTTTAAGTGATTTGTTTGTTACTATCATTTTTATTTGTATTTTTCAGAACAAGATTTTACAGGCCTAATAATGGGCAGGATTGCCAGAAAGAAACAACACAAGGGAGATAAACCTTTAAAGGAAAAATACAGAACCAAACGTAAAACGAAAGATTTGGATGAAATACACGAGGATATGAAGCCAGCTAAAGCACAAAAATTGTTGAATCAAGAGACAGACTATGACAGACCTGGTGCCGGACAGTTCTATTGTATACATTGTGCGTAAGTAAATCATGTAAACACTATATGAATTTCTTTATTTACCAGGTCAACAATTAAAAGTTAGTTCTGGCTTCCATAACTTTATATATGTCACATTTTTTTGACTTTGTGCGACCATACTATAAAACCTGTTCGCTGAATTCACGGATTTGTCCAGCTCCCATTTGTGAAAAACACCTAGAAATTATATGCAGATGAAAATTTGGAGTTGGATTAGCCAAATGTATAAAGCCTGATCATTCTGCACAAATGCACAGGATGGTCCGGCTCTTTACTGGTGGCAAAGGCTTTATATCAATCTCTTTTAGTTCGAGCAGTATAATGGTTATTCTGAAACTTAATTATTGACTATTATTGTCTATTCTTTACTAAAGCCATTACATTAGCTGTGCAATGAACACATTTTTAAACATAATTTATATGACAAAGAAGCCAAAACTATATGTTGGAGCTAAGGCCCTCACGGTTACACGTTTAAACGGATTCGTTTGGATTTTTATTCGTAAACGGTTACAATATGTTTTACCGTTTAATCGAAATGACCATATTGTCTTACAAAGTATCTTAGTCATTGCCTGTTATAATGGATTTTATCTTTTCTTATTGGTTTATTCCAAAGTAAAAAATGGCAAATGGGTGTTTACAACCCTCCACACAGTATCACCGTGCAATAATTGCTCGTGACATAATGCATTTTTGGTAAAGTTGATTTTCCTTTGATCTTTCAAATTTTATAGCGAAATAGGGATACAATGCAGAAAATGTGTGCTGACTCAATCATAATGAGCCCTGAACATTATTTACTTGTACTTGTATTTAAAATAGAAAGTAAGTCATCTTTTGGCGACTCGAATACATGGTGTAGTATAGTACATAGAAGTACCACCGTTTAAACGGTATCATTTCGGTTCTTAGCAATTGTTTAAACGTTTACAAAAAATTGTAAACGTGGGAGCCTTAGTTGGAGCCCTCATTTCTTTGCTATGGACCTATAACAAGTTAGAGCCAGGGGATCAATTCTTTGTTATGGACCTATAGCAAGTCTATGATTAGATGATAAATGTTCTATATGTGATTTACAAAAATATAAGACTTGATATATTCGTTTATTCATTTTCAGGAAATATTGTATAAATGAACAGGCATTAAAGGAACATTTTAGAGGCAAACCTCACAAAAGGAGGTCAGTATCTTTTTATCAAAGTTATTTTCTGATAAATAAATGCAGTTTGTATATTCCTATAACTCTGGTATAAGCAAAGTACATGTAAATAAAACAATTCTGGTAAACCTATAAATTGAAATGATTAGTTAATAAGAAAAGAAAAAATGTATATCGAAGGTTTGGTGCGAAACAACTGTAACTCATATTATGTTAACAATATATCTAAGCAGTTTAAATAAGCATTGTCAGTAGAAATACAAGAGCAGTCTTATGTATAGAAGCTAGGTCTCAATGAATACTTTTAGGTATAAATCATCTAAAATATGTAAACACAGTTTGTCTTGATAGAAAATATGGAAGATAATGGTGCATAAGGCACGTGTATCAGTTTTCATTATTATGTGCTCTGTCAGTGGATAAAGTTATACATGTTTTAGTTAAAGCAGCATGCTTCATGCCAATTTTCATAAAAGTTTTGAAAATGTATTTAAAAGGAAAATACATGTTCTATGAAATGACCAAAGAAAGAAATTTACATATTGCAAACAGCACTTAAATTCCACGTAAATTACCAAAAAGAGGTCAAAGTACAATGTATGTAAAAAAAGCCCTTACTGCCCTCACTCAATTAAACACTTTAAGATCAGGCATTAATAACACAAAACATAAATTATTACATTTCTAAATATATTAGTTTATTACATGTTTTGCAGTAGATTACTGAATTATAACGGTTAATTATATTCTGAATAATTTCACATAATGATTACCAATATAATTTCACAGTAGCCGAACTATATTTGGCGTAAAAATAAAATATTTATCATTAATGAATGTTTTTTCAGCGTAAAGTAGTCAATATAAAAAGAAATGTACGTGATAACTGTAGTTTGTAAATTTTACGAACTTGTGCTGAAAAACATCTAAAAAATTAAAAATAATCATGGAAAATTTTATTTTTCAACATTTGAGTCATTATTTTTTATGAGTCAGAAGATAAAAACATGACGTTACGCGGAAAATCAGTAAAAGGTGTAAAAAACGTTAAAAAATCATGAAATAAACAGAAAAATTTTTTGTTTTACATGTAAAATCAAAAAATATTTCACTCGTGAACCCCAGTATTATATTTTCACTTTGGGCTAGCCACTGGGAAAAATTTATCTGGTGTTCACTCGGTGAAAAATTTTTTGATCTTACATGAAACAAACAAAATCCCTATATATTTTTTTGTAGTTTTTATTTTCTTAAAAAAATATTTTTTGCTCATCTGGGGGCATGCACTTTTTTGTAAAGTAAAATTTA